GGCAGATTGGTCATTTATCCAGAATCAGCTGTTTTCCAAACGCACAAACCAAACAGCCAGTCAGCTTATCCGGATCAGCTGGTCATCAGCAGATTATCAGGATAAGCTGCTTATCAGCATAAGTTGGATAAGCTGCAGCTGCCCCAAACAGACCCTTAAACTGCAATTTTTGTAGCATTGTGTTCATATTGGTTAGGCCATTTTTGCTAAAGCAATTCATCTGCTCATAAAATGTTTTTGGTTTATTTTCAGGGAAGAACAGCATTATGGGATGCTATTTTGCTCCTCTGTCACAGGATAAAGGTTGGCTATGACGGGGTAGTTCGAGGAGTTCATCTTGGTTCTTCAGCTTTCAACATACTCCCAATCTTTGATTCAGAAACTGATAGCTGAAGTAATTGCTGTTGAATAATAAAGCTTCTGTTCCGCTATTAAGTAAGCTATGCACTGCGTAGCTTTCTCATGTATAGTATCATTCGGCATTAGAATTGTTCACAAACTTTTCAAACTTTGCTTCAGTTTAATATACGTTCTTAATTTTGAGTTTATATATAAAATCTTAATTTCTTGACCTGTGGTCTTAAATCATTTTAGTTAGCCTGGTGTAATCTAACTATTGGACATTCTAACTGCATACTTTATGATCATCTTAGAACCATGAGCACATTTCAAACAGCTTGAGAGATATGTACAGATTATGACCATCTTAAAATTGGTTTTGAAGTGGAGAAATAAAATTAGAAGTGTTGAGAACAATGCAAAAGGACAAAGGCGGGAATTGATGTGTGTTAGAAAATTTGCTGCAGTAGAGTAACAATTTATCTTCTTAGTGTGACACAAAAATTCAATACACACTCAAAAGAGAGAAGAAAATTCGTAATGACGCCAAAAGTTTTTACGTGGAAATCTGGAAAAGGAAAAACCACGGGGGCCTGACCCAACTGAAGAGTTTTGCTATAGAAAGATAATTGCATTTGCAACCACTTGTTTTATAGGTGGGAAAAATGTACCAGATTTTCAAGTTACAAAGTAGAATTCGGGCTGTGAGATTTGAACTGTTTTAGGAGCTGAGCCGATGAAATTTGAACCGCGTGGAGCTGGACCTGCAACACTTGAACCATATGCGGGATTTAGGCTAAAAAGGTGGAATTTGAGGATATATTCTCTTTTTTTAAAAAATTTTGAATGAGAAATGCGGAAGACCAAGAGATGGAAGTTGAAATGATGAGAATTAATGCAAATTTCAGTTTTTATTTTTTTTAATGATTGCCTTTAGTGCTATGCCTCCTCTTAAGCCTATAAATAGAGGTCATGAATGAGGGAAAAAACAACAAGTGAGGAGAAGGAGAAGAGAAAAAAGAGGGAGAGTGCAAAGTGGAGTCTTCTGTTAGCGAGATTTTCCAGAATAAGAAAGTCGTCTCAATCCTGCATAGTAAGAAAACAACGAGATCTTCTTTCTTGCTGCGGCCAAGAGGAAAGTCGTCCCCGTTCTACGTAAGTGGCAAGTAATGATATCTTTTTTCACTTTGCGATGAAGAGGAATGTCGTCCCCGTCCTGTGCAACTGATGAGCATAGAGATCTTCTTTCATGTTGCGACGAAAAGGAAAATTGTCCCATTTTTACCAAGAGGAAAGTCGTATCTGTTTTGCATAGCAGGAGAGCAATGAGATATTCTTTCATGTTGCGATTAAGAGGAAAATCATCCTCATCCTGCGTAGCAGACAAGCAATGAGATCTTCTTTCTTATTGCGACGAAGAAGAAAGTCATCCTTATACTGTGTTGCAGGCGATTAACATGATCCTTTTTTGTGTTACGACACAAAAAAAAATTCGTCTCCGTCCTGTGTAACAAGCGATCGACAAAATCTTCCTTCATGTTGCTATGCAAAAGAAAGTTGATCTTGTCTTGCGTAACAGGTGACCAACAATCTTCTTTCACATCGGTGAGATGAGGAAAGTTATCTTTGTTCCTGCCCAACAAGTGACTCAAGATCTTGCTTGTTGTTGCTGCACATTTCAGTGGAGATGAAGAAATGCTAAAGTTTTCTCGCCACGCTTTCAGGGGGGATTTTCGTGCTTCTCTATCAGCAATATCTCTTGTAGCCTTTGTATCAATTCTTATTGGTCTTTATAGTCTTTTTAATCATCTAGTATGATATTTGTAGATGATGATAATATATTTATTTGTACGTATTTTACGTTATTTCTGAGGTTTTTGTGACTTCTCAATTGTATGAAATTCTACAATTAAAGTTAGCACACACTTTACAAAATGGAGAATTGCGTATTTTTGGAGGCACGTGCCTTCCGAGTTTGTGCCCTTTCGGGCTTATGCCTTATAGGAGCTTGAAATGAACCGATACCTTTTGTGACTCGTAGCTTTCTTTGGTCTGTTATGTACTTGTGTCTTTTGAGGCTTGCAGCTTTCTGAGGTCTTTGATATATCTATGCCTTCTGAGGCTTGTAGCCTTCTACGGTCTTTCAATGGAGACCTTGTCAACCACTTGCTCTCTTGGAGTTTTTTTAGTGATGACCATGTCTACTATTAGCTTCCTATCGAAACTTGCCTCTTGTGCTCGTCTTATAGGGGCATGGCAGCTTATCATCGAGTCTTGCCTCCTGGGCTTGAGTTCTTATAGCACCGTAACTTCCTATCAAGTCTTTGCCGCTCAACTTCCAGGGGTACTGAATCGTCCCATTGAGTTTTGTCTCCTGGGCTTTACTTTCAGAAGCATGGTAGCTTTCTATCGAGACTTGCTTCTTGAGCTTGTCTTCTAGGAGCATCGTAGCTTCACATCGAGTTTTTCCTCCTAGGCCCAATTTCTAGGGGTATCGAATCTTCCTATTGAGTTTTGTCTATTAAGCTTGACTTTGAGGGGCATGGTTCAAAGGAGAATTCATTAAGGATATAAGACCATTTTTGAGTTGTGTAAATGGAGATGTTCGACAGTATTCTCGTAACAAACAAAGTCATAAGAAATTCACTGAGGATGGTTGACGTATCCTAGGTTGTTGGTCGACGATCGTAATCAATTATAGAAAAGGTCGAAGGAAATCCTTTAACTATTTTTAACCTATCTAAGGTTGTATGCCGAAGTTTTTGCTTGACAACTGCAACTTATATTGGAAGAGGTCGAATCAAATTTCCCTTGGATCGATTAAGCCTAGAAAAAGGTGTCGGAGATGCTCTATGTTTCTCGAGACGGGCGTAGGTCGCAATGGTCCGTATGTTTTATTGGAAATATGGTTGCATTCATACTCAAGGATAATGATTTATAACTCGTTAGTTGTTGCATTTTAATCTTATGCCCCCGATAGGGGTATTTTCCATGCGAGCTTGTAAAACAGCTCATGTATCGAGCCTTGAACAGATCAGCTTCTTGATATAGCTGAAGAACGCTAGTACAATGACGTGGCACCGAGGAAGTGTTATAATATACGACGAATATTGTCCCATGTTTAGGAGCGGTTTTCAAAACCTTGTTGTTTGAACGAAATGTGTGATGACTACCCTACCACACTTGTGCCCGAGACTTTAATGCTAACGTTAACGACCTTTTGAGACTACAATGAAGGTTGCCCCACAGTCTGAAGAAGATGTGAAAGACTGTTTGAATAAGATTTGAGAAGACAACTAAGCTACAATTATGCCCTAAAACGTAAACGTTAACGTTAACGAGCTTTCGAGACTGCAGTGAAGTTTTCCTTCCACATTGAAGTATACTTCAGTGATGATCTTCAAGATGTAAAGAAGGTTTCTTTGTTGTTGGATGATGTACATCATTAGGAAACGAAGTAAGGGCTCGGTGTCTTAAAGTTGAAAACAATTTTGAACGCGACTTCGCCTCCCACGAATGATGTCAAACTGATGCATGCTAAAAAATTCGTGACAGTAGAGTAACATATTATTGTCTTAACGTTGGGCGAAGATTCAACACACACTCAGAAGAGAGAAGAAAATTAGTAATGACACCATAATTTTTTACGTGGAAAACTCGCAAAGGGAAAAACCTTGGGGCCTTGACCCGGTTGAAAAGTTCTACTATAAAATGTTGATTACAGTGAATTTATTGGTACCACAGGTGAGAAAGGGTTACTAGGCTTCCCAAGTTACAATGTTGATGTACAGATGAGTTTGTTGTTGGAAAGGGTAGTGGCCGGTAGGAGGTGGTCGGCAGCGGTCAGCGGTGGTCGCAAGCGGGCTGCGGGTGTCGACGGCGGTCAGCGGTGGTCGACGACGGCGATCGATTGTGGCAGGTTTGGTGTTGAATTTCAGCTTATTTTCAAAGCTTTAAGTTCTCTCTCAAGCCTCAAGCTTTCTTCTCCCCCTCATGAAGAGATGACTCTATATATAAAGTTATGAGTGCAATTAATGTAGAAATATAAATTACTTTGATCAGACGATTTAGAGGACTAACCTCGATCGAATGACATTTTATGAATATTTGAGTATCTTAACGATGTCAGATTTGAGTGATCTCGAACTCGTTGGATTCATCTTGTCAAGACGCTCGATTTGACTATAGACTCGTCAGAATTGACATTCGTTTGACCTTCCAAATATGTCTAGAAAACTTCTAAAAGTTGTGTAATGACTTGATCTGAGCTTGATTTTGTTCGGATTGGACCAATTTTGGTAATATTGTGTTATTCTTGTCGAGTCGGTCAGTTTGATTATAAGTTTGCTGAAATTAGAGTTATGGGTGATTTTTTTATTCAAAAAATTTTCTCGAGACCCGTATCAAATGATTGAATGTTGTTGGTGACGTATCAGGAATACAGATCAAAGTCCATTAATGGAGGTAGGTATTCAAAACTCTTTCCGACGCACAAGTGTAAACTATGAAGTCTCGCATACTTTTCGGAGGACCCAATAGCGCACTCTACCTTGTATTAATTCCAATTAATAAAAGGGGTATTTACTTATATATAGGGCTGTCAAAACGACACGTTGCTCATGCTCATTCGCAAACAGCTCGTGTTCGACTCAAGAAGCTTGTGTTCGGCTCATTCGTTAAGTTAACGAGTCAAACACGAACAAGTTTTTAAAGCTCGAATTATAAACGAGCCGAACACAAACAACTCTTTGTTCGCTCATGTTCGGCTTGTTTTAGCTCGAAATAAAAAAAAAAAACTTATATAATTATTTATATAATAATATATTACATATATTATTTATATAATAATATATTATATATATTTAT